GAGGGGGGACCCGGTCGCTGGTGTCCCATCAGGATTTGGCAGGATCTGCTTCCTCAGGGCACAGACCTCTCCCCCCATGAGGACCACCCCCCAAACCTCCCCTTAGGATGCTGTTAGGTGAGAAGGGGAAATCAGGGGTGGGTCATGGGGGAGGGTGAGGAGGGCAGCGATGTTCTATGCAAAAGTGGGGAGAGGGGACCCTAATCCTTCCCTCTCCTATTCACCCTGTATAACGGAACCCCAAGGACCTGTCTCCCCAAAAGTGCCTTAAGCCCAGAGGGTGGGGAGGAGGTTATGTCGCTGACTCAGGGGCTCTTCCTTCCCTAGCTTCCCCTCTCCTCTGACCTTAGTTGGCTGATCCAATCTAGCAGATTTTGTCTATTTATTAAAAAATACTTGAGGACAAAACCTGGCTTCTTTACTGAGTCCGGCCGCCTCCTGCCCAGGGTCTGCAGGAGAAGGCAGATTTTCTCTGCACACACACAGCTCAGGACAAAGGTGGTGACGGGAGGGAGTGCTGGGGGCCTGGCACAGACACACGTATCATGACTTGTGTGACCAGGTCCTGGGGCACTTGAGTGTGGTCTCAGAAAGAGGAAAGGGCAGCTGTCCTGGGGTGGGTGGGCAAAAACTGGGAGACCCAGTCCAGGAATTTGCAGCTAGGGGTACGGCAGGGTGTAAGTGCTCCCTCCCCGCGGTCAGGGGAGCAATAGCGCTTTTCCACTGAAGAAGGAAGGGTTGGAGATTCCCCTGGCAGAGGTGGGGGTAAGGGTGGGGGGATGGCTTCTCTCTGCCCAGATCCTCTCAGGAGAAGGCAGACTCAGCAGATGGGTGGGATCATTCCGACCGCAGGCAGGATTTGGGGAAGGCTTACTTCACGGCCTTCCCCATGATGTGCGGCCCAACAGGCAACCACTTTAAGGGAGGGGGCTGTCGTTCCATTTGGAGTTCAGAGAACTGGGCACTTTCCAGATCTTTCCAGGTCTCTCTGGTGAGGCGGCAGCCATCCCCGATGTGCTTCCAGGTGGGCTCGGCAACTTGCTGCCACAGGAAGGCCCAGCTCCCACGCGGCTCAGCCACGTGCTCCCAGAAAAAGAACAATCCTCCCTGGGAGAGAAGAGCGTGTCACTCACCTGCTCCTCCCGCCGCCTGCCTCTAACCTCACCTCCGTCCCGCCGGCCACACCTGCCCGAAACCTCTCGGTGAAGAGGGAGGTGCTGGTCTTCAAGTTCGGGGAGCAAACCGTCCTGCTCCGTGACGCCTCCTGCGCCCCGGCTCTGGCTGCCAGCCCAGAGCGTGTGACGAGCCTCCCGTGACTGAGTGGGGACGACTGGTGAGACATTCTCAAAGGGCGGCCAGAAGGACAGCATAACCGAGGGCAGACAGACGGGCAGGCGGAGAACCAGGAGCATAGGTTTTGCTGGATACAGAGATGCTCGCCCAGAGCCCCCTCCCAAGAGCCTGAGACACGTGTCAGCCAGCATTTCGGAGAAAACTTGCACTGGGTTTCTAATTAAACTGGGCTTCCTCCAGCTCTTCGCTCCTCGCTGTTCCTTCCCTAGGTGATCTCATACACCTGTGTGCTTGGAATTTACCAGCTAAAGGTGGTGACTTCCAAATCTGTATCTCCAGGCTCCCTCTTTTTCTGACTTCCAGATCTGGACTTCCAACTGCCTCTGGGTTCTCAATGCCGCCATGTCACCTCAGACCTAAAGAGTTCAAAGCAGGTTTCTCCTGTCTTACAAAAGGCATTTCCCTCTACCGTCCCTCACTCCATCAGCTGCTCATGCCAAAAACCTGGAAACCGTCCTAAACTACTTTCTCTCCACACCCAGTTCCCAATCTTACTGGGATTCTACTGCCTCTATTAGCTCTACCTGGAACACTGTCAGTTGCCCCACTCCCTCCAGCCCCTGCTTAATCCCTCGGATCTCAATGTAAGCATCCCATCCTTAGGTGTCCTCCCCTCTTCCCCGACTTCACTGGGTGGCTCCCTTATGGGCTTCCGCATCCAGCCCTGGTCACGTCTCCTGCTCAGCAGCACACAGGTGTGAGATGCACTAGTTCACGGGAATTCCCCGTCCCGGGCGCCCCGGGCACTGGGGCGGCTGGTGCTATGTTTGCTGCCCCGCACCCATACAGGGGCGGTGTGGCAGGAGGTGGACCTGGATGGAAGTGGTAGACGAGACAGGCAGAGGCCTGGTCAGTGAGCGTGGGTCAAGGCTGGAGGATCAGATGAGACAGTTCCTGGGACTGGGGCAGGGGCTGGGGTCGGGCCCTCAGCTTCAGGAATGGGGCGAGGCTCAGGGCTGGAGTAAGGGTCAGAGAGTCTGGTGTAAACATCGTTCCTGGTGATCCGAGGCAGCCTTTTCACCGTCTGAAGGTACAGCTGCGCTGAAACGCCTGCTCTGCACCGCAGCTGGCCGGCTTTCAGCTTAGGTCTCCTCCGGTCCCAAGGACACTCGCAAGGCGCGGGCAGGGGAGGGAAAGAAGAGTGTGTGTCCTCCGGTGAACCAACGTGCCCTTCCTGATCCGTAGGTTTCTTGTGTGACCTCTGCACGTACCCTCTTATGTTCAGATGCGGTGTTTGGTATTTCATAGCTAAAGTAATGGAAGCCACTGGATATGAGTTACAATGGCAACTATGACATGTGTTAAAATGTACTGAGATCTCTTTTTCTCTTCTGTCCGGGAAGAGGGTTGTGGATTGAAATTTGAAGGTGGCACCTGACCTGGGAGGGGCTGAGGAGCCCAGCAGAGTGAGTGTGGGCTTGGGAAGAAGGCATGTGTTCCTTAGGACAGTTATGTTAGGTTATCATTTTTCAAGGAATAGCATCAAAATCTTAATATTAGGGAGAATATGTATTTTTTTAGGAAACAAGTTTACTTTTTATTAAAATATAATCTTGAAAAATTTTATTATAGTATAATTGATTTACAAATAATACTGTGTTTTAGGTGTACAGGAAAGTGATTCAGTTATATGTATTTTATGTATATATGTACATTTTTTCAGATTATTTTCTATCATGTTATTCTAAGATATTGAATATAGTTCCCTGGGCTGTACAGTAAATCTTTGTTGCTTATCTATTTTATGCATAATTTGATCTGTTAATCCCATACTATTAATTTATCCCTTTCGCCTTTGGTAACGTTTGTTTTCTGTGTCTGTGAGTCTCTTTCTGTTTTGTGTATATATTTGTTTGTATAATTTTTTGGAGGCCACGTGTAAGTGATATCATGTAACATTTCTCTTTCTCTGTTTGACTTATTTCACTTAGTATGATAATCTCTAGGTCTATCAATGTTGCTGCAAATGGCAGTATTTCATTTTTTATGGCTGCATAGTGTTCCATTATATATATAATGAACATTGGGGTGTATGCATCCTTTTGAATTAGAGTTTCTGTCCTTTCCAGATTCATGCCCATGAATGGGATTGCTAGATCACATGGTAGCTCTATTTATATTTTTTAAAAGAAATCTCCATACTGTTTTCCATAGTGGCTGCACCAATTTACATTCCCATTAACAGTGTAGGAATCTCCACACCCTCTCCAGCATTTATTATTTGTAAAATTTTTAATGATGGCCATTCTGACAGGTGTGAGGGGTGATACTTCATTAGTTTTGGTTTGCATTTTCTAGTAATTATTGATGTTAAGCATCTTTTCATGTTCCTGTTGGCCATGTATATATCTTCTTTGGAGAAACGTCTATTGAGGTCTTCTGCTTGTGTTTTGATTGGGTTGTTCTTTTGAAATTGAGTTGTATGAACTGTTTGTATATTTAAGGCCTTTGTGGGTCACATCTGTTTGGGTTTTTGTTGTTGTTGTTGTTGTTGTTGGGGGACGTATTTAGGTTTATTTATTCATTTATTTTTAGAGGAGGTACTGGGGATTGAACCCAGGACCTCATGTGTATTAAGCATGTGCTCTACCACTTGAGCTACACCCTCTCCCCCTGGGTCGCATTGTTTGCAAATATTTTCTCCCATTCCATAGGTTGTCTTTTCATTTTGTGGATGGTTTCTTTTGCTGTGCAAAAGCTTTTAAGTTTGATTAAATCCATTTGTTTGAACTAAGAAAATACTGCTACGATTTACTGTCTCAGAATGTTTTGCCTACGTTCTCTTTTAGGACTTTCATGGTGTCATGTCAGATTTAAGTCTTCAATCCATTTTGAGTTTATTTTTGTATATGGTGTGAGGGAGTGTTCCAACTCCACTGATTTACATGCGACTGTCCAGCTTTTCCTACGCCGCTTGCTGAAGAGACTGTCTTTTTTCCATTGCAGTATATGCTTTCTCAATATGAAATCAGAATTTATGGACTTGGGAGAAAGAGTAATCCCTGCTATGGTGAGATGTGCTGGCTTTTTAGATAACTTGTGGGGAAACTGGCTACAGCACACAGCATCTACTCCATTTATGAAATCAGGGAGCTCCTCTCCACTTTGGATCTGGTAAAATCTGGACAGAGGAAAACTTCTATTAGCTTTTGGCTAAAATCTGAAGCTTGAACATGGGTTGATAAAGAAGGCTCCATAAGAAACCCTTTCCATCTTAAGATCTAGGTCTACAAGCGCTCCTTTGCTCGTGTGATGCAGGGAAATGAGTTATTTAGATAAAGCAGCACGTCTAGTCCTTTTATTCTCGACCGCTCTGCCATAGTTCCCCGGCCAGACAGCAAGGAATGGTGCAGATCTCCACTGTGGCACCGGGAGTGA